GGGGACCCTTGGGGGGCTATGGGGACCCTTGGGGGGCTGTGGGGACCCTTCGGGGGCTGTGGGGACCCTTGGGGGGCTATGGGGACCCTTGGGGGGCTATTGGGACCCTTGGGAGCTATGGGGACCCTTGGGGGGCTATGGGGACCCTTGGGGGGCTATTGGGACCCTTGGAGGGCTATGGAGACCCTTGGGGGGCTATAGGGACCCTTGGGGGGCTATGGGGACCCTTGGGGGGCTGTGGGGACCCTTGGCAGGGGCTGTGGGGATCCTTGGAGAGCTGCCCCATAGCCCCTGCTTGTGCCCCATATCTGTGGGTTCCACACAGCCCCTGGGGGTGCCCCATATTTGAGGGTACCCCATATCTGGGTTCCCCACAACCCCTGGGGTGCCCTCTATTCATAGGGTGCCCCATAACCCCCAAAGATCTTAGGCAGTGTGTACTGTGGGGTGTCCCATATCTGGGGGTGCCCCATCTGTACCCCCTGGGGTGCCCCACACCCCCTGGCCTGCCCCATAACTGCCCCCCACCCCCGGGCAGGGCTGTACACAGATGGGCACTGAGTTTATTCTAGGATTCCCTATATCCACTGCTCATGCTCCATATCTAGGGGTGCCCTACAGCCCTTGGGGGTGCCCCACACCCCCTGGCCTGCCCCATAACTGCCCCCCACCCCCGGGCAGGGCTGTACATGGACCGGCGCTGCGTTTATTACCGGAAGCCGCTGCTGGAGTCGGGCACGCTGGGCACCAAGGGCAACGTGCAGGTGGTGATCCCGTTCCTGAGTGAGTCCTACAGCTCCAGCCAGGACCCCCCCGAGAAGGCCATTCCCATCTGCACCCTCAAGAACTTCCCCAACGCCATCGAGCACACGCTGCAGGTGCGTCCAGGTGTGCCCAGGGGCACCTGGCGGGCATGGGGGGCACCCGGGGTGTCCGGCTGGAGCGTGCCCAGCTGGTGTTTTTGGGGGGTTCCAGATGGCTGGGTGGCACTTGAGGGGTCCTGGAGAGCACAGGGGTCCCGTTCGGAGGTATCTCAGACTCTGGGTTCCCTGCTTTGGGGGGTCCTGGATTTGGAGTTGTGGTCTGGGGGGTCCTGGACACCGGAGTCATTCTTTTGGGGGTCCTGGGTTCTGGTTTGGGGGTTCTGAACATTGGGGTTGTGATTTAGGGGGTGTTCTGGACACTGGGGTTCCATTTTGGGAGATCCCAGACTCTGTTCCCTGGTTTTGGGGGTCCTGCACACTAAAGTGCCCATTTTGGGGGGTCCTGGATACCAGGCTTTTGGTTTGGTGGGTCCTGGACATCAGGGTTCCATTTTGGGGAATCCCAGACACCAAGTTCCCTGTTTTGGGGTGTCCTGGGCACCGCAGTCCCTGTTTTGGGGTGTCCTGGGCACTGCAGTCCCTGTTCCGGGGTGTCCTGGGCACTGCAGTCCCTGTTCCGGGGTGTCCTGGGCACCGCAGTCCCTGTTTCGGGGTGTCCTGGGCACTGCAGTCCCTGTTTCGGGGTGCCCCTGGTGCCAGAACCCCCCAGTGACACCCCCTTGTCGCAGTGGGCGCGTGACGAGTTCGAGGGGCTCTTCAAGCAGCCGGCCGAGAACGTGAACCAGTACCTGATGTGAGTGTGGGGGACGGGAACCCCAAATCCCACTGGATACCCCCCCAGAGACCCCAAATTCCTAGAAAACACCCTACACCCTGTGAGCCTCCCATAACCCCTGTACCCCCCTAACCCCTGCACCCCGTTTCCCCCAGGGACCCCAAGTTCCTGGAGC